AATATAGCCGGTAGCCAGTTTACGTACAGGCTGGTGAAATATCTTGTGTAATAACTTCACACATGTATAGCCAACGTATTGTGACCAACCACTTCCATCAACTAAAAAACGAAAAACTGCATTTCTGGTGGCGACTGTTGGCTTTGGCGCCTCTAGTAACTGCTATAAGCATCTACCGCTTGTGCATATTTCTGAACTGTACAAGTTTTTCACATGAGACAGTAAGGGGCATTTTATCTGATTTTCACTGGCATAGGAACAGAGAAAGTATGGAATGACATGACCGCAGTAAAGTTAAAACCTCAACTAAGACAAAGATTAAGATGATGACGTTTACTGTTCAATGTTACCAGCATGGGAACTGACATCCTCACTTCATGTAGTGTTCTAGAACTTGTGGGGGCGTAATAGTTCATAACCATTGTTCTGCAGCATGTGGGCTCAACCCCCTGCTTTACACCTCAGTCACACTATCCACTTGGAACTACGTTTATTCCAACGTAAGACTACATTTATGCATTCCTTAAAAATAAATATCGCTGTCATCACGTGTTTTCTGCGTCCATAAAAAATATACGAGTAGGCTTCAAATGACAGCCTTTAAACTGTGATAGAAATTAAGATAGTTTTTTTTTAACATATCAATATTGTTGCTAAGGATATCAAGAGTGTTAAGCACATGAAATCATGGTGCAGACACATATGATGACATCAAAATGACAGTTCAACTATGTGAGCCCCACTTGAGACAAGCACCAAAGAGGAGCAAGCAACCTTCTGTTACTCTGGAGCCGTCGCTTCGAAAACAAGTTGTCAAAGAGCCAGTGCACGTATATACCAGCTGACGCTGTTATTACGACATCTAAACATAAGTATGACCGTCAGAAAACAGATTATAAACAATGTATTGATACACTATGCTACCAGCGCAAAACTTGGACATTATCAAAAGCTAACCTAGCTGAAGTTAACACCTGTGAAATGAGATGCTCGAGGAAAGCGGTCAACTTAACCATCTGAAAGAAAGTGAGAAATGATATACTATAGAGGCAGATAATGGAAACAACACCATGCATCAAATTCACTAAGAAACAGAAAATCAAATGATTTGGTCATCTCGTTAGAATGCAAACACAACAACTGCCAGCACAGGCGCTACAAACGAAAAGATCTGACATGAAAGCAAGAGATCGAACAAGGAGAATTCAGACTGAAGACATTAAAGACGTTCTACACCAACACGGAACAATAATAGCCACTGCTACCCATCAAGCAATGGATCTTCCTTCGAAGTCGGAATGAATCTGCCTAAGAGGCAAGAAACTAAAAGCCTGCATACAAATAAACCAGATCTGTAAACTGTAAGTGCAAGAAAAACTCTATTCTGGAACAAGAAGTCCAGAAGTGAATGAACAACAAGACTTTCCCCCGGAGTTGACAACCGCCGCAAGCCAAGAAGAGAGGATGATAAGCAAGGGATTGCACACTGTTCCTCCCCATGACGCTTAACGGCAAAAGTGGAAACTGATGACCATGACCGAGCAGTCGCCAATTTACTATATCTGATATTTCATTTGTTAACATCAGAAATTTTAAGCCAAGAGTACCGGAAAGGCTAACCCAGGCAATAAATGCCTGCCGAAGTCGGATGTGTTGGCCGAATGGCGCACATGTCGCAGCCATGCTGTAAACAGGCACATCGCAACTACATCTTCCGATGAACGTAGCAGAAGAAGAAACCAGCAGTGGGGAACATTTCATTTTCCTGCTAAGGGCACTTAATATTTATAACGTCATTTGTGGGTTATACGGAATTATGAACTTTAAAATGTTCCTGCTATTTTTGTTAACCATTAAAAATGAAATTACCTTAAATGGTGCCTGACCATACACTTTCTCAAAACTTACATGGCAGACGATCAGTGCGCAGACAAAACACACAAAGTGCACACTGCGAAAACTGACACTGCTTTGACACATGCTGACTGGTAGACCGTTGGATCTCGTAGACACACATGCACACTCACACAATAGTATTTGGAAGACTCATTAAAATCTAAGGTTTAGATAAGCTATAATTTTTTTTGAAGTTGTTACTAGAACAGACAACATCTTGACGAAGGTGGAGAAGAAGAAATAGGGGAGGGAGAAGAAAAAACAAGGGAAGGAGGAGACGAAGACAGAGGAGAAGGAGGAGACGAAGACAGAGAGATGAGAAAATAGGCAGAAGTGCAGCAGCAGCAGCAGCAGAAGAAGAAGAAGAAGAAGAAGAAGAAGAAGAAGAAGAAGAAGAAGAAGAAGAAGAAGAAGAAGAAGAAGAAGAAGAAGAAGAAGAAGAAGAAGAAGAAGAAGAAGAAGAAGAAGAAGAAGAAAAAGAAAAAAAGGAAGAAGAAGAAGAAGAAGAAGAAGAAGAAGAATGAGGAAGAAGAGGAATGCGGAGGAGAAGCAGAAGAAGAAGAAGAACAGCAACAAAAACAACAACGACCACAACTACAAGAAAAAAACGTTTCAAGCTTACAAAACGACATAAACCAGTATCTCTGTGGCAAGACAAAACTGTGTGACAACAAGCGGACCCAGAGGTCCTGATGGCAGGCACTGAATACACGCTCCAAATACGCCAGCTGACAAATTAGACATTTCCATTCTCATAACGGTCGCCGCGCGACTTCCGGGAAGATTAATAACACTAATGGAGACATAATGGGAAAACAGTGAAGTAAAGAACGTAGCTGGATTAAAGACACACACGCGCGCGCGCACACACACACACACACACACACACACACAGAGAAAGACTAGCACGGGGGCGATGGGAGAAGTGATTTTAAAATGTTTCGACAACTGTCTTCTTCTGTAGCAGAATACAGTTGACAGAAGGAAGTCTGTCATGACCAGAAAACGCAAAGAAGTCAACAGAGGCAACGACACATCGTGAGGTTTAAAGACGTATTTTCTAACTACATCAGGAGTGGACGTAACTATTGCCAAGACTCACAGCGACAGACTCATTGAAAATGCACAAGAAGAACCATACTAGAAAATTCCGACAAGAATGGGTTAACAGCATCCAGAAGTCAGGCCTTGAGAAATTATCCTGGCTGTACACACCTGCACATGCCAGCGTCACAGGAAATTAAAGAGCAGACAGGCCGGCCATATCTATAGTGGTTGGTAGAGGGAGAAGTATGGACCAGGCACACATACTGAATCAACGCCGAAAGGTTGCGATATCCATAATACCGAGCCTAAGGGTTAACAACTCATGGCTTCTGGATACTAAAACAAACAAACAAACAAACAAACAATGCCGCGTGTGCCTAAGACGTTAAGACAGAGGAGTCAGAGACGATGAATTAATAGTTTGCTGGAGCAAAGAAAGATATGCCAGTCAACTTCTGCTGGGTACGCTGAGTACTGAGACATCGAGATTACTGTTGCATGGGAGGACGGAGCATGTATGGGTCAGAACCAGTGTTGCCACTTTGGATGTTTTACATCCAGATTTAGATGTTTCCCTAGCATTTAGATGGCGTTTTTGACCTTTAGATGCTAGATGTTTTTCCAGATGTTTTTTATTTGGAATGAATTTATCAAATCTAACCTAAGAAACAGGATGAAATTTGACCTCTTAACTGCTATCTTGACAATCAAATTCGGCCTGCTAAGAGTAGGAAAAGGCTGTTCCACTTATCAGCTCCCTGATTGGGTATAAAGAGAATTGGAACAGCTAAAGCATACCAGAGTCATTTTAGATATGAAGCTTCAACATCATCATCCAAGCTAAGTTTATCCTGTGGATCTTGTAAGCCAGACTTCAGTACAGATGAGGACATGATTCTATAGGGTAAGTCATATCAATTGCTATGTAATATTGGACTCTTACCATTTGGATGTTTTTTTAGATGTTTTCCCACGCAAATTTAGATGTTTTTAGATATTTTTTGACTCTGTTTTGGATGTTTTTTGTCAAAGAAAAGTGGCAACACTGGTCAGAACACGTAACAAACCGTAATACATGACCCGACAGACAAGGTTAGACTTTTGTTTAGTTGTTGAAACCGTCTGCGGTGACTAAAAGCGATGATGAAAACATTCACATTTTTTTCCCACTTGCACCTACGCGCTGCATAACGGGAGCACCAGCAGCCTAGTGATTATACCTCTTTGCTGGCATCATTTGATTCATTCTCAATAAATAACCAAATCATTTTAGTCTCCCTTTCTCAATGAATTTAATTATAGGCGTTGTTCCAATATTTTTTTTTTAATGTCTTCGTTTTTTTCACACGATCTCCTTCATTTTGCCAGTAGTCAATTTCTTTCGTGTTCTTTAGTTAATGTCTAACGCTGACACTCACAGAACAGCGTTGTTACGGAGACCGCATTTATCATTTGTCTTTCCAATTCTAGTTGGATATGCGGGTATTGTTTCTGCTTCTGCTGCTGCTTTTGCTGCTTCTTCTTTTTCTTGTTCTTGTTCTTCTTCTTCTTCTTCTTCTTCTTCGTCTTCTTCTTCTTCTTCTTCTTCTTCTTCTCCTTCTTCTTCTCCTTTTTCTTCTTCTTCTTCTTCTTCTTCTTCTTCTTCTTCTTCTTCTTCTTCTTCTTCTTCTTCTTCTTCTTCTTCTTCTTCTTCTTCTTCTTCTTATTATTATTATTATTATTATTATTATTATTATTATTATTATTATTATTCTGCGTTCAACATCAGCCACGCTAAGCAAAAACAATATTTGCTGTGAGTAGTTAGGGCATCCCTGCAGTATGTGCTCAGGAGTCTATCTGTCAGCAGCACAGTCACACGCAGCAGATTCTCTTATGCCTATCCTATGCTGGAGTGCTCTAAGACCATAGTGTCCTGTCCGAAGCCTACAACAATGACGAGTGTTCCCAAATTAGGGTCAGTTGTTACGTGGCCTTGTTCTCTTGTTGGAGTCATGTAACACAAAAATACACTACCTGATGAAATATTGAACAAAGACAACATACTCCGTGCTTACCTTGCCTTGCATAATCATTCGAACAGTCAGCACGGTCGATGCTGGAGACAGGCTGGTTCCTTCCTGGGCTATCACAGTCCCGTTGCTGATGCTGTTGGCATTGCTGTTGTGTAGATGGTGGTGGTGGTGGAGGTGGTGGTTGGGGGAAGCAGTGATAGCTTGGCCGTTGGTGGTCATGTAAATGCCAGTGTCTGTCATGTCTGGTATCTCCTGTAGTGGAGGGAAGGGCATTGGAGGAGCTCGGAGGGCACCGTACTCACAGCTGAAAATAATAGAATAGGTTAGTGAGTGCGGGTATGGCTTCACAATATAATTATCAATAGCACTATCTGTGACAAGATCAGCGCAACAAATAATAGTAAAAATATATGTACAAACACGAATGACAATATCAGAAGAGAGATATGTATAAATACGTATAAATATGTGTGTAGCAGTTACACCACGACTATGATTGAAAAGACCAGTAGAAAGATTAAATCTTTGAGTCCCAGTGGGTTTAGCATTAGAGAGACGTAAAATCGGCGCATGATGCGTTCATAGGGCCTCTAGGTAGGAATCCATGAACGAATGATGCGTTCCTCGGGACTCAAAGAGTTAATATGAATAAGTGTAGATCTGTACATAACAGTTACAACATGACCAGGACTGAAAAAGATCAGTAGAAATATTTTTTTTTAGTATCCAGAAGCCATGAGTTGTTAACTCTTAGGCTCGGTATTATGGATATCGCAACCCTTCGGCCTTGATTCCGTGATAAATACCGTACATCTGGGAGAAATGTGGCTTTTCTGCCTACACCACAAGGAGTTCGTCACCCGATCACCGCGCAATCCGGTTTAGCCAAATACGCTAGCGAGCCGGGCATCAGTAGAAATATAAATATGATCAATACTGCGCATATAGGGCTATATTTTAAAGACCAATCAGCACTCGGTGGATGATGTTGTCAGCCTCACACCGACCGCCTTTACTTACCATAGCTTTTAAATAGTACCCATTTAAGTTTGGGTCAAGCTAGGAGACTGGGTCAATTCGGGGGGAAAAAAGAAGTCCAGCAACGTTGTATTTGAACCCACGACCTTCTAATTCCCAGGCGAGCGCCTTGCTGCTACATCACTGTTTCCACAGATTCTTTCACTTTATTACGTTTTTGCTTGATACTGAAAGTACTGAAAGATGCAATGTGCCATATACTTTTGTGTATAAGACGCCCCTAGTGTATAAGACCACCGCTATTTTCAGCCCAACATTAATTAGAAAGTAAATATTTCAAACACATTCTGTTTATAAGTATCCTTTACATGTTGTTGCAGAACTAGCCCTAGGATTTTTTGGCTGTTGTGGTTTTTCTAGACACAATTACGTTCAGTAGTTTGCCATTGCTTCTGGGATATCGGCTCTTGATATCACTGTTGAAACTAACGTAAGGGTGACCTGCTACCAAATCGCCAGCAAATGGGATCGAACCTGGCATCTTGGCATTACAAAGTGCGTTCGCTGCGCCTAAACCACAGACGCCGTGCATAAGACAACCCCCCCCCCCCACCCCACCCCCAATCCCACCCACCTCAATTTTGAAACTTTAACAACAACAACAACTGGGAGAACATAGGGTCTGATACACAGCAGAGGTGCCGTAACCTGTGCGCTCAGACACACAGAGCCACTGGACACAGTAAGCCGCCAGACATACAGAGCACCTCCAGACACGAAATTGTATAAGAACGCTTAGGTTTGAGATTTGAACCACGAACCAACATCATTACACACGGGCAGTAACCCATAAGTGCTCCGTTCTTCTTCTAACTCAAGTCTTGAGTCAGAAGAAACTCAGCACAGTGCACAGGCTCTGTAGCACCGGCGAGGTTCTTGAATTTATTATGGGTATATTTTAAACTCAACATTTTGCCCGGGCAGCGCTGTTAGGCTACTCTTTTCGATTTCCAACAACCGAGGGATTTTTTACGTGCACAATAATACACACGGGCATCCGATCTCACTACCCAGAGACCTCGGGGAATTACTAGAAGTCCAAGTTCACGTGAAAAAAATGCCAGCCCTTACCGGGGATTGAACCCGGAACCTCTAGCACTCGTTCTGGACATCATTAATCGATACCACTCAGCCCCCTAGAACGCTTTGGTGTCCTCCCCGTCTCCTCTCTCTAACCATGTACTGCAGCTCTTTTCTTAGTTTTTGTTTATACACTTCATGGTATTTCAAAAACATTTATATTTTTGTACTTCCAGCACATACTTATAATAATAATGGTAAAGTAAAGAAACGTAAAGATCCCTTTCCACGATTTTAGGCGTATCGGGCATATGAGAAGAGCGCCCATATTTTTACAGACCATCAGCACTCGGTGGGTTATGTTGTCAGCATTACGCCGTCTGTCTTTACTTTCCCAGGACAGCCCATCCTAGTGCCCATTCTAGACTGGGTCGCCCTGCGACGTCCCATACCACGATAAAAATCCATGTGGCCCGCAGCGGGTATAATAATAATAAACAATAAAACATATATACTGAAAGATTCGACACTGAAAATACCAGCATCTATGTAGCACAAAGCGAGGCTCGCACCTAAAGCCGTTTCAAAATCCGACGCTGAACGGCACAACAGAAGTAGATAATAATAATAATTATTGCACAATTAAACAAGACATAGGCCC